TGGGGGTGGGGGTGGGGTGGGGGTGGGTTAATTATTTTATAGTAATATTAAATATTAATAATAAATTAATTTAATAATTATTATTTCATAATTAAAATTACAAAGAAATCTGATTTTTGAGATTTAAAATATGTTTTGGTATTTTTGAAATGTGTAAAAGTAAATGGCTGATTTATGTATTCTTCCCTTGTTATTATTATTATGATCATGTAGGTATTTATAGCGTTTTATTTGAAAATGTTCATGTTCTTTTTTCCTTTTTGCTTTTGGAGAGAATTTTCCCATGTTTGCCTTTTGCAGTAAAAATGAAACATGTCATGAATGATACTAATAAGATTCTCTACTTATATAAGTTGTCATAAACTATATACACATTATGAGATGGAAATTGAACTCAAGATTTACGACATATTTGGTAAATTGAAATATAGGACATTCAAATTCACTATTTTATGATCAAACGTTTTAGAAACATGCCCTTGATTTCATCGACTTTAATAATCTTTAGTTGGGTGTTAATTTGGAAATCGAAAATTTTTTAGTATGGACATTTTTCATTTTCTATGCTATATGCCTAATATATGCAAAAAAAAAAAAATGTTAAGTATGCAAAGTTTCGATTATATTAGACACAATTTTAAAAAAATATTTCCGAGAAACATTTATTCGGGATAAAGTAATTTCCATTAAGAGTTAAGAGTTACTAAGAACAATGCATGTTAAGAATCAAAACGTTGATATTTAACATCATTCAATTAATTATATGACATTTATTAACAAAAATCTAAACTAAGCAATGATATTCTTAAATAGAGTGAAAATGCAATTTTTTTCTATTAAATGATCTTATATCTTGCACATAACCTCATACTTCAAGATTATTATCTTACACAACGGTGCGTGCAAATGCGGTGTGGTCAAACACGATATATACTGCAATTACGGTAGTTTAGTGCAAAATCGGCAAGTGCGAATACAGTGAACTCAAATACTATGTAAATACGGTTTATGGTGCAAATAGATACTAATACAGTGAGTGCAAATACGATGAGGTCAAAAATTGCGATAGTTTAGTGCAAAATCGGTAATCTCGAATACAGTAAGCTCAAATACAATAAGTGTAAATACGATTTATGGTGAAAATACAGTATCTGATGATTTCCAGTTATTACAATTATGAAACATAGAAACAAAATTAAAATAAATAGATAAAATTAGATTAAAAAAGGATAATATAAAAAAAATCAACAAAATTAAAGATTCAAGAAACAAAATTAAACTATAATTAATATTAAAAAAATAAAATAAATAGATAAAATTAAATTAAATTTAAAAAAATTATACCGTCAAAAAAAAGAAATTGAAAAGATTAATTAAAAATTACACATTTTCCATTATAAAAAAAAAAAGAACAAAAATAAAAATCAGATAAATAAATTAAAAGAAGGATTCAAAATTAAGAAATATATTTAACATGGAAATTAAAAGGAATTAAATAGAAGAAAAAATTTATAAAATAGAGAAAATATATTTAAAAAATGGGCCTCCGTCTGGACAGGATCCAGACTGGGCCGTCTGGATCCAAGCCAGAATCCAGTTTTTAAAGAATCCTAAGTTTTTGTTCATTATTATTATTAGTGGTAATTACATGAAACCATACTTTAAGTTTTTAAACTTCTAAAATCAGATTGAAAATTTAATATTTTCAAAATCAGATATTTTATTTTAATTAAAATATTTATAAAATAAATATGCTGAAATTAATCCCTAATTATCCCTAATTAAATCTCACCTCTCGACCCCCCCCCCTCCCGCTCCCTCTCCCTCTCCCTCTCCCTCTATTCTCACAATTCTCTCTATCACAAAAAAGCATAGGAGATCGCCACCGACGAAGACACATGAACTGTCGTTGCCTGTCGAAGATCGCCGCCGACGAAGACACTCTCAAGCACGAGAAGCCGACGAAGACTCTCTCAGGCACGAGAAGCCGCTACGTGCAGCTCTGCACAGTTCGGCAGTGGATTTCGAGGCGGAGGTGGTGGATTTCGAGGCGGAGGCGGTGGATCTGACGGAATTACTAATTTTCAGTTCAGGCGAGCATGTTTGTTTGGATAAATGAGTAGATAAGTGCCAATGGATAGTTGCTTTCTCTCCACCTCAACTCCTTCGGACTGCTTTCTCTCCACCTCAACTCCACCTGTCTCTGGCGGCCGCTTCTTTCCACCAATTTCACTTTTGCCTGTCCACCACCATTCACGCACCCACACTGCCACGCCTCCCATTTTCAGCAACCACATCAACAGACAATGAAGTAAATGAAATTGTTAATTATGTTGTAGAGTCACTGCCACGCCTCCCATCGTCACCGACTCCGAACACCCACCCGCCACCGCAAAGAACTTATACTCACTCCCTCTGGGTCCTCAATAAGGTCAATGAAGCAAATGAAATTGTTAATTATGTTGTAGAGTCTGCTATTCTTCGTGCAATTGCATTTTGTTTGTATCTTATTGTGAGATTTTTGTGACGATTTGCAGTATTCGGTGGATGATGATACGGCGAATAAGCTCAAGGGAATTTGTGGCATTTGATAGTCAGCCTTGCACACCAAGTGTTTGCTTTTATTCTCAGTAAACTAACAGGGACTCTTTTATTCACGGGACATTTATTTTGTGCGTGGTTTATTGATGACTCTGATTATTGTGGAGATAGAGGTGTTGTGCCATGGCGATCGTTGTGGTGTATGTGACCAACTATTTAGATTAACTGTGATCTTAAAAATTGGACAATTTGTGATTAAAAATTAACATGTGACTAATAAATTTGAAAATATGTGATTAAACAAACAATCATGATGCGTTGTGACTTGTGACCTGGCATGTGACTTGATTTATGACTTGTGACTTGGCCTCTGACTTGATTTGTGACTTGTGACTTGGGCTGTGACTTTTGACTTATGACTTGTGACCTGAGGTAGGACTTGTGATATGGGCTGTGACTCTTGACT